ACGGAGCAGCGCGGTGGGCGCTGGCTCTCGCCGCCCCGGCCCTGGGGGCAGGCGTCCGTGGTGAGTAGCGCGGAGCTGGGCACGGCCCGGGCGGGTGTTTACAGCGGCCTCTTGTGCTTCTCGCCCCCCCGGGCATGAGAGCACCCCTGCCCGGTGCGGGGCGCGCTGCGGCAGGGCGGCGGTGGGCCAGTTCCAGTCCCCCCCCTATCCCGGCCGCTGGCTGCTGGCGCCGCACTTCCGCGCCTCGTCCCGGGGGGCAGGGCTCGGGCTGGGGCAGGCTGGGCTGCGACTCGGGTGTGCTGTGTGTCCCTGGCTTCCTGGGCACAGGTACGGCGACGTACACACGCATCCCGGCACACGCTGACAGATACGTGTGCCCACGCGAACACACTGACACACACCGACCAACGCACGAGCACACATACTCACTGACACTGACTGATGCACATGGATACACTGACACACCGAGACACAGGTGCGCACACCGACAAGTGCGCACACATATACACTGACAGATGCACACATACACACACACTAATGCACATGCAGACACACAACACAAACACTGCCACACTGACACGCAGACACACTGACTGACACCCACTGACAGACCCATGCATACGCTGACACACACAGAGGCCCACTAATGCATGCAGATGCAGGCAAACAGACACTGACACACACTCACTCACATAGACACACATATGCCAGTACACACACACACACACACACACACACGCTGTGACACTCAGACACACTGACACACCAACACACAGACACGCACGCAAACACAGATGCACGCTACCACCCAGTTCTTGATGTTAGCAATTTTGTTTGCCATCAGGGAGACTGCGCTTTTTCTCTACAGTTTGCAGGCAGAGAGAAGAGCTTTTAGAGATCCTGATGGGGGTAGGGAAATAGTGTTGCTGACTTGGCTTCATAATTGCTTTCGCAGAGATAAGTTGCTGAATGATCGGTGAGTTTTCTGAGGTCTTGGATGATGAACTTCTGGGTTTCTGAACCCCTCCCATAAGCCATTTGACATAACATATGTTGGGCGCCTTGTGTTGATGCATCGACTGTGTTTATATTAGTAAGAGAAAGAAAGAGGGAAGTGCAGGGAAGGGAGAATGACACACATTATTGGAGAAGGGCAGGTTCTGGCAGATAACATGGTAGTGATTTTGTTTGCCCGGTCTTCCTGATGGCTGCAATGTGTACAGTGCTGTGTTGGTCTGAGGCTTTACCTTCTTCTCTTTGCCTCTTGCCCACTTTGATAGTAGCATGTTGTTTTAAGGAGTGACTAAGAACATAGACTGTTCCATAAGGGATTAAACCAAATAGTTTATCTCATCTCTGAGGATGGCCTGCAGCAGATGATTAAGAAGACAGTGTAAAACCCCTATAATAAAGGACAGGTATTTAGTAGAGAGCCAAGGTGGTAGCAGCATGGAGGAATCATAGTAGGCAGTAGCTTGTGGCTCACACCAGAGGAAGCGTGTGTCAAGGGACTTTATTTCTGAGCTGTTTGCTGTTTGAGTGGGATTTTCTTTTCTGTAAATACTGATGACATCGGTATAGGGAAATGGTGCTTGCCCTGCTGCTGCCGGGAATTTTTAATGAGCAAGCAGCTCATGGAGCTGCAGTAAATGGGTTAACTTTCTTGATAGTGAAGTTAGATTACCATTCAGGGCCATGAAATGGAAAATGAAAGGAGACTAGTGCTGTTGCTGCAACTTCTTGCTTGCTGCCATTTAGAGAGTTAGAAGGATTAACGCTTGAAATAAGCTCTGTTAAATAGCCATTCCCAAGCTGCACTGAGTGAAAACCTTACGTATGATGAGGGAAGGGAGTTAGTTACTGTCTTGTGCTCGATTTCTTTACTCATCTTTCAGTATCATTACAAGGATGGTTACTAAACTGTATTCTGATTTATGTCAGGGCTTTATAAGTATGGGAACAAAGAGCTGAATGATTGCACTTGTGGTCAAAGACAATCATTTCAGCATCCTGGTTTAAACATAATCTGAAAAAGAAAATGAACAAGGTTTAAAAATATAGTAATATAAACCCATGGTTGAGATAATGGTAGCTGAAGACAACAGCTTCTCCTGTCAACTTCTTGTAAAGTTTTGCTGTCTCAAAATATATGAGGTTGTATTTAAAGATTAACATTTGAGAATTTGTACTGATATTTTTGTTTAGAGCAGTTGAGCTGTTTACAATTCAATCAAAAAGAAACTTTGCAACTTTTTCAAAGATTAAACAATGTTCAAATAGTACCAACGGGCTGTGGGCAGCTTAGCATATCCATTGTCAGCTCCATTTTTTTCTAGGTTTTGTTTATATGCAAACTTGAATGATAATTGCAGCGAATCAATTTTGTTCATTCACAATGGGTCCTCTAGTATAAAAGATCTTTTGAAAATTGTAGCCCTCTATTTGCAATCATTTTAGCAGACTGCAGGTAGATATGGGTGTTCACTTACATGGTTTTCAATGCAGACCCTGTGAGTCTGTCTGTGCCTATGAGTAAGAGTAGCAGGATTTGACCCTGCGTTTTGTCTCATATTTATATTTATCCAACTTAGTTTACATTGGGTTCAGCATACTCGCTTCAAAGTATGGTTAACAAGAGAATGTTCTTAAATTTCTGGACAGGAAATGTAGCAGAGTATTCCACAGAGTGAATTTATCAAACAAAACTAAAGTTAATAAAAAAAATGAGATGTATAAAGAAAACCATCCATTTTGCATATGATGCCTTTACTTGGAGATCTATTATATACGTAACCATGTTTTGTTGGAGGGTAGTGTTTTATGTCCTTGCTTAGGCAAGTGGGAATCAGTTGATTTATTGGCCCAAACCATTAGTCATTCAGTTGGGTATCCAGTCTCTTCTAAACCCTGGCATACACATACCTGCAGTCACTGCACCATCTCCTTCAGAACCTCTTGCTGAGGCTCCAGATACACTATTCCCCTCGCCTGTTTATTTTTACACTCCCTGTCCATGGCCCCACCAAGGCCTGGGACCTCCTGGTCAGCCTCCTCCTGGGCCCAGTGAAGCTGGCCATGTATCTGACCAAGAAGGGGGCTGTGGTCTGGAGGGGCCCTGGGGACTGTGAGGCCATGTTCCTTAACCTGCTTCGTTCCTGTCTCCAAGCAGAGTATCATTGGGCAGTGTCTGCTGGCTCCTTGGACTTGTTTGAGGGCTAGTGGGCGCTGTCCAGTGTGCTCTGCTCCTTGTCCCTACTTGGCACACTTATTTTGAACCTCTGGTCAGCACTCTCCTCCCTGTTTTTTCATTATTTGTCCCAAGAAATCTGTTGTCCCCTTCCCACTTCAGGGGGGCTAATGAGAGACTTGGTGGGCTGGGCCCATGTGTTTTAAACAGTGACAAATAGGCCTGTCGCTTTCAAACCCTGGCATAAACATACCTGCCGTCACTGCACCATCCCTTTCAGAACCTCTTGCTGAGGTTTTGGCTGCACTATTCCCCTTGCCTCTTAATTTTTTCACTCCCCATCTGTAGCCCCACCATGGCGCGGGACCTGCTAGTCAATCTCCTCCTTGGCCTGGCAAAGCTGGCCATGTATCTGACCAGGAAGGAGGCTCTGGCCCAGAGGGTCCCCAGGGACTGTGGGACCTTTTTTCTGTCCCTAATATGTTCCTGTCTCCAGGCAGATTATCACTGGGCCGTATCCACTGGTTCCTTGGACTCATTTGAGGGCCAGTGGGTGCTGTCCAGTGTGTTCTGCTCAGTGTCCTGGCTTGGCTCACTAGTTATTAACCTGTGATCTCTATTCCTGTCTCCGTTTTCATTATTTTTGTCCCAAGTAAACTGTAGCTTGTAGTAATAAAACGGAGTTATAATTTCTTTGCAGGCCTGGGCCCATGACTCTCCTTGACATGTTAGAAGTCCTGTCTCTTCCAAATGCCAGGGTTGTTTGAATGATGTGTAGAGGTGCACTGATACATTGGTCTCATATTGGATTCGTACCGATATAGGGAAAATAGACAGTATCAGAAATTGGCTATTTTGCCTAATGTGGCCAAGAATGTGGCTGATAAATGCCCTGTGCATACGCACACCTGCAGCATTCACAGGGCCAGGAGCGTGGCCCGGCAGCTTGGAGACCAGTACTGGGCTGGTAAGTCTGGTGTGGGGGAAGGGATGGGGGGAGGGAAGGGACATAGGGGAGCAAATTGAGTTCCCCACGGTGAGGGAGAGAGCGGGGCAGGGGCAGACGCTACTCAGCCAGGGTGGGTCGGGATGCAGGATGGAGCTTCAAGCCGCTCGTCCAGGGGCATGGGGAGGGGGGGGTCAGCTCCCACTTCTGTGCGTACCCTGGGCTGGCATAGGGGGTGTGTACCCCTGGATCTGTGCACAGAGTGGGGCAGGCTGCCGATGTGGGCTGGGGCCATAGCTGCTCTGGGCTCTTCCCAGCAGGGGTGTTGTGCTAGGGCTGCACTTGGGGTGGGTGGCAGCAGTGCTAGTGGGGGGGTTATGGTGAATTTTGGGGTGTCTGCAGCCCCCCCCGTAGCTGCTTCCCAGTGCTGCTGCTGCCCATCCTGAGTGCAGCTTGGCCCAGCCCCCTGCTAGGAAAAGCCCGATGCAACCCCGGTCCCAGCCCTCAGTGGCAGCCTGCCCTGCCCCACACACAGATCCGGAGGCACATGCTGCCCATGCCCTCCCAGGGTGTGTGCCGGGTGGAAGCTGCATCCCGCCCAGCACCCCTTGGATGAGCAGCTCTAGACTCCATCCTGCTCCCCGCCACGGCTATACAGTGCCAGCTCCTGCCCCACTTCCTCCCTCAGTGCAGGGGCCTTGTTCTGCCCCCCCTTCCCCCACACCAGACTTACCAGGCTGACGCTGGTCTCCAAGCTGCCTGGATGCATATCAAAATCAGATTGGTATCGGCTGATGTGGCTCCTTAAAAATTGGCCATTGGTATTGGCCCAAAAAATCTCTATCAGTGCACCCCTAATGACATGCAGTGTACAGCCTGTCAGGGATTAGGTTGTGGTCCCTGGGCTCCTACTAGCTGCTGCTCCTCATTGCATTGCTGTGGTTTCAGCAGTAGCCAGAATCTTCATGTTTTTCTCCCCATGCTGTAATTGCCTTCCGGTGTCTCTGGGGCAGGGCAGTGTGTGGCATGACTGGGAGAGCTGAGGGTGAGTCTAACATCATGTGGGCACGTGTTGCGCTAGTGTGGGGGATTACAGGTGCATGGCGCAATTATGTGGGAGGGGCCCCAGTGTGGTGCAGTGTGTGAGGGAGATGTCCATACAGTGTGTGGCCTGGGATGGGGGCTGTGGTTTGCTCTGTTGTAGCCCACAGGCATGCAGCTCCTACTGGTATGGTCCACAGAACATTTGGCCCCCAACTGCTTAGAAGTTGGACAGCCCTGTCGTAGGCCAAGCTAGTGCTGAAAAAAGAAAAAGGTATCTTATTTCCTTAATTCTGAACGTATCTGGTTAAGCCAGTTATCCATCTATTCTAGTACCCTTCCTCTGATGTTGATCTGTACTATATACCATATTTACTTGCATACAACATGCCCCTGAATATATTACCCATCTTTGTTTTTGAAAGGTAGAATGAAGAAAAGATTTTTCCAGAGTTATAGTTTCATACATCAGAGTCAGAGCCTAATCTTCAACTCCCTTTCCTGCTTAACTAAGCTGAAACTCTAGCTGCTGCTGAAGACTGGCCTCCATGGGTGGATCTATGTTTCTTAAAAGAGCTAAATAGTTTGCAGGGCTGCAAAATAGGAGGAGAGAGACTTGGACTTATTACCACACAGCAAAATTGCTCTAACAAAGGTTTGCTTGATTAGTGGGAATATCAAAACTATTACAAAGAAGAGGTGATAGTTAAAACCTCTGGAGTAAAGAACTGAGCCATTAAGTTAATTGACTCCCTTAGCTATCTGCATAATAATGCCACAGCTGTAGCACTGTAGAACAGGAATTAAAAGAGGGTGCTTCTATCCCAGGCAGAAAATCAGCTTCTCTGCTTAATATGTGCACCCCTATTTTGGAGGGCTGATTTTTGGGGCAAAAGGTGCATTTTGTATATCCAAAAATATTAACTTCAGAAGAAAGTACAAGTAACTATAGCGGACTGATATGTAGTAAACTGTCCTAAGAGAGGTTTGCTAATTCTCTCTAGTCTTTGGTTGGTTTATGCAACAAAACCACTAGTACTTATGGTTCTTACAACTTTTTTATCCTGTCTTGTGCAACTGTAGATATTTTAAATATGTACCTAGTACTGTTAAAATCCTACTAAGGCCTTCACATCAGTGCTGTTGTGGCAGTGAGTTTCAGGGGTTCATATATTTAGAAAAATATTAATTTTAAATGTCTTGCTTCTCAATTTCATTGAAAGATCTTTCACTTTTGATAAGAGTAAAAAAAGAGCACATGATTTTTCTTCTCAGTATGTTGACCACCTCTCTCATATCCCTTGTTACTGTTTTTTTCTTTCACCTACACAGTCCCAAACGTCTTCAGTACCTTTCCATGTCTCTAATAATCTTTGTTGCTTGTCTTTAAATCCTTTCTATTTATATTTTTGTGAAGGAGTGTAAGACGTATCCTTCTCTGGAATAGGAATACTATTAACATTAATGTATTTTCAGTCCTGTCCTTTTGCTATTTCCTGACATTTTGTTTGCTTCTTTGTTGTTTCAGTGGTTTTCACAGAGGTTTTCATGGAGCTAGCCATCATATTGCCTAGGCCTTTTTGTCTCATCAGTGGTTCTAGCTAATTTAGAATGCGGCAACATATATGAGTAGCTTGTATTTGCTGATATAAAATAGGTTCTTCCTTTGTGCTGCTTGTTCACCTAGCTCTTTGGTAGGTGTGGCTGGTTAACTCAGACTGGTGGGGCAGTGGAGCGTCCTATGGGAGGTGGGGGGTTGCAGCCAGTTGGGAGCGGGGGGTGGTTTGCAGCCAGCTGGGAGTGTGGGGGGTGGAGTTTGCAGCCGGCTGGGCACTCTGGCCCGTAGCAGCGGAGAGGCTGCAAACCCCACTGCTCCCGGCCGGCTGCAAAACCCCCCCCTTTTCCCACCCCTCCCTCCCCCCGCTCCTGTGGG